GGGGGGGGGGGGGGGGGGGGTTCGTCCGAACCCCTTGAACCCCTTGGATCCGCCACTGTAACCTGTAGCTCACGGGTCGTTTATTTGTCCACACTTGGTACTGTTGCATGTAGGCTATCTTGACCATCAGTACAGCCATTTACCAGTGAAAGAACTAGTAAAAGTGTTGAATCAATGAATTCTACGTCAGCTAAATGTAATTACTGTAGACGGTTGATCTGAAAACCGTAGCTTCATTGTGTTCAAGGGCGTCGATCCGTGGTTGAAAGTTGGGGGGACGAATTGCAAAATAAGAAAGTCTGGGGCCGTAATGCCAATTCTTGGCTGGGGGAAGGGGCCGCATAGGGCCCCCGGTGGGCCAAAGGCCCTTGAAGCTATGGCGTCTATAGCCTTTTATAAGTCGTATGTAATTGATTTTAAGGAATGGAATGAACATTTATTTCCACACTACAATTTCAAAATACAGTGGTGGATCCAGGAATTCGCCCAGGAGTCCAGGATTTAGGGGCCCGGGCTTCCACCCCCACTATTTGGAAGGTAAAAATGAAAAGGAAAGAAAGAAAAAGTGATGGCCCAAAACGCCTCAGAGGTTAATTTTGAGGGGGAATACCCACAGACCCCTAGGATGTTGTTATTTCGATCGACCTAGCTTTTCCCCCTCCCACCTTCAGACATCTGTCGATGCGCCCCTGGGAAATTAGGGAAAGACTTTCACACATTGAGGGTCTATAACACCTTAGCTTGAGCATATTTGGGGCTGAGGTAAGAAAAATTATGATTATGGCACCTCTAGTTTGCCGGAAATGGTACTCTGAGACTTAAATTTGAATATAATTTTCTCAGATTTCTCCACTTTTGAATTTTTGAAAAATTTAGGGAAGGTGGGGCGGCTGGGCACTAATTAGCTTGTGACGTATTGGAACCATGAAAAACAAATAATAAACTTACAAGTCACTCTAATTTAGCCTCTTTGCATGTACATTCTTTTAAAATCAATCAAGAGGTTTTCCTTTTCTCCTCTTGTTGAATTTCACTTTGTGCAAGTAGTATTGCGACTACACAATTGTAGTGGAATTTAGTGGAAATACTAACTTCTAATTTACAATAAAGCAGGACTAGGGAGATATGAAGCACACAACCTTAGTTGAACCTGGTTCAACTTTGCCGATTGCTGCAGACGAATCGGGGTGCCTTCCCGATTGCGTCAGAGCAACTAGCAATGCACCGATTCGTCTGCAACGTGATCGGCACACAACCTTAGTTGAACCACGTTCAACCTTCCTGGCAACTATCGGCGACTGTCACCGATAGTGTGAGCGATTGTATGGAAACCGAGCTTGACGGGGAGTCTTCCTGATTGCGTCGGGGACTGCTATGCAGTACAGCGATTGCACTGAAAACGCTGTAGCGAATGTGTAGCGATTTTATGGAAAATGAGCTCTAGTATTATAGGCATGAGTGATAGATAATAAATTCAGAGAAGAGTAAGCTGACTGAGGTCTTCCAATTTTCAGAGGAGGCCAATGGGACCGCCACTCCCCGCCGCCCGGTCAGAATAATGGGTTCTGGATATAGGTGTCTGACGCACATTGCCTAATTTCTTAGCAGCTGTTGTGAGACGTTTTAAAAAATGATTGTGCACGTTGAAATTTATACTGAATATACAGTAAAATTTTACTTTAGAGCATATGAGAATATTAATAATGTTAAGAATGTGAAATTTGTTTACATCACCAGGATGCGTTTATTCAAAGCGGAACGTTTAGCCTATTTGTATAAGTTATTTGTAAACGATTATTATTTCTACGTTCAAATTATGTCTTTAGATGTTATTTTCTTATTTTATTATATATCTTATTAAGTTTTATTTATTGTCCAAGTAACAGTATATCCAAAACAATAAAATTATTATACAGTACTCTTAGGATTGCCAAAAAAGTTAGCTTTATCAGCGGCTCTCCAAAATGAATCCTTAACATGTAGATTAAATTAAAAAATTAAAAGAAGTACTAGGTTAAAAAATATGCTAATGCTAAAATATTATCTATACAATAATGTTTAAAAGAATACAGGAAAATAATAATAAGCATTTGTCAACTATAAACATGATATTTTTCTACATTAAAGCTTAAGATTAGATTTTGTTTTCAGTTTATTAATAAGGCCTATGCCCCAATGATTGTTTCTTTTCAGATTTGATGATGATAGTGCTTGTATCTGTGTCATCCGTTGCAGCAGTTGTAGTCCTGATTTTAGTTTATAGGTGTGTATGCCAAAAGTTTGTTAATAATTTAGTTCCGGGTTAAAATTAGAAATCATAATAAATAATTAAAAAAATTCTTATTTTCCTAAATCTTCTGTTTTGATACCAAATAAAGTTTAAGGCCTATAAAGCAAGAATAGTTTAACATTTATACTGTTGCTATGTGAATTTCTATACCATATATTATGTATCATGGTACAATATCGAGATAAACTTTAAGCCCTCTTGTGATGTTATAATTATATATAAATTATATATAACAAATAACTATTATATTATATCATTTTGGAGGTTGGGGCAACTGTGAAATTCCAAATTTTATTTTTCATTCAAATACATATTTTATATATACTTATAAAATTACCCCAACATGGTTTAGAATTTATTTCAGCTTATCTATTTTTTTTTAAATTATGAAGATGAGGATTATTTTGGTCACTGTTTACCTATATTAAGTTTACGGTGCTACTAAGCAAACATAATTTGAATATTTTATATATATATATATATATATATATATATATATATATATACTATATATA